TGAGACCTATTGTCTTCATCTAGTTGTTTGTCTTAATTAACCAGATTTAACCACTATTTTGACATTAAGAAAATAGAGTGCATGCCAGCCTACAAAGATTTTGCATGAAATTTTGACATATTTGAGATTACAATCTGCAAGAACCAAGGATCAACATTCTTCTAAAGAACGGATGCTGTGCCCAATGTGATCTTCAACATGTGGCAAAAGATATAATGCTTACCAAGAATATTTGTGTAATATGCTTATATTTAAAATGAACATTTTTATGTGAATGGGACCTCCATTCTGTACCATTTTAACTGATGAGAAGAGAAAGGGGAGCAGTAATTGTCAGGATTGGCAGATGGTCAGGGTGAACACGGGGCAGAAGGAGAGCTAGGTGATTCCACTAACAACATGGTGAACGGAGGCAAGAGGGAAAACTTAGATGAAGCAGGACACAGTAAAAGAAGAAACATGGGGAAACTGCCATCACCTGACAAGGCTCCAGTCTGCTCGTTTCTGTTACAAACCTGTAAAACTCGTGGTGCTTATATTATGCTACCATCTCCCCTGTTTTCTTCTGCATTTTTCAAGAATTCTGTAATTACTGTAATTGACCTTTTGGGCTCCAAGTAGTATTTTTCATCAATTTTATTAAATATTATGGGGAAAAAAGTAAGCATGGAAATAAAGCCACATCTATGCAATGTTTTAAGGTAATTCTTTTTGGGAATTGGTTTTGGAAGACTGGAGAAATAATATACAATTCTGAAGAAAAGAAAAAATGGAACATGTAATAGTGCATGGCTTAGTATAAATTTAAGAGTAAGAGTTCAGAAAAGCAGAAGATGTTTTTATGTGGAATATAAATAATAAAATATCAAACAGTAACAAGTTGCCCACGGTAGAAATAATCATTAAAGGATGGCATTACTGTAGGCAACACTTAAACTTTAAATGATAATTCAGCCACTCTTAGTGTTACTTTGCATTACATAACTTTCTGTTCTGAAGCTGGCTTCCACCAAGTTTCAGAAAATAGGATTACTTAAGTATATAATGCTATTGTACTCCTTGATATGAGCTTCTATGCTAGTTTAAATGTCTTTTGTTTAACAAAAGAGAGCAGCTGGTCTTGCCAGAGAGATATTTCTCATTCCCAGCAGATTTGGTTCCCAATTCCAAGTTTGTAGATAAAATTTCCATTTCCATTTTTGTGGTCATCCCTAAATGAGAAGAGACACAAAAATGGACAATGTAAGACCAGATGCAAATCACACTGTACATTTTCCAATATATTCAAACTCATGTTATATGCTTAAAATATTACAAATATCAACAGCGAACTAATACTTACTGAAAAGGTAAGGGGAGCAGGAAAAA